TATTTTAATTTTATAATTATTCTTTAACTTTGATTATTTATTATCTAATTAAAATAAATTTTTTTATTTTTTAAAGATAAAATAAGTAAAAATAAAAATTATTTTCAAATATTTAGTTTGAATATAAAATCAAAAAATATGTATTACAATGAAACAAAGGGAGTAATAATTTATATTTAATTTTAATTAATTATCACTTAAATAACGTTTTTTATTTAATATATGTTATAATTATATTTTGAATAATGATAAATGAAACAAAAATTTAGGACCAATGATGTGATATAATGTACGTCATTTGAAATATTAAAAATTAAATTTTATATTATTTGATGATTGGCCCTTTATATTTTTTTAAAACTCATGATATTACATAAATCAACTAATTTAATATTATAGCTTATGCCACTTCATTGGTTTTAAATTTTCATTTCAAAATTTCAACCTCTCCTTTGTCATAAGAGCATAAATTAAAGATATATTTATTGTACTATTTTATTATTAATTTACATAAAAAAATTATTTTCATAATTTTTATGCCAATTAATAGTGAAAAAGTATAATAAATGCACTTTAAGTTATAGATTAAAAAACTTAATAATAATAAATGCATTAAATAACTATTTAAAAAGAAAGATAATTAAATTTAAACATCTCAAATTAAAAACCAAATAATAATTTTAATCAACGTAAATTTTTAATTTTATTTTATTTAAAAATGTAAATTTTAAAATTTTATTTATTTTAAATTATTTTGTATATATTTTTCTTAATTTTAATGAATATTTTATTTATTTTTCAAATAATGATAAATAAACCTATAGTTATAGCGCAATACAATGTTAATAAAAGAAGCCTTAGTTTCTATTTTTGGTGCATCTAATCATAAATTATAAAAATATATATATCTCTCCTTTTTTTTTTTTAAATCTCTTCCTCACTTAACTTAAAATTTGAATTTAAGATTTTTAATTTAGGATTTTCTTTAATAGAGAATTTTATATTCTTAACCAATTAAATCACTCCTTTGGAGATATAAAAGACGCCTTAGTAGGCATCATTATTTTGCTGTATAGTATTTTGTTAAGGCCACACAAATAATATAATATAAGTGTGTTTAGTTTGACTAATTTTTTTCTTAAATAATTAATTATAGTGTTCATAAATATCATCTTATAGGTTGATTTTAATCTACTAAGTGATGAGAACCCCAAAGAGAACAATGAAACCCATAGCATGACAAGGAATTTATAAACTTCAGGAAAGACAAATCAGGTTTATAATAGGATCTTGACCCGTTATTTATATTGTAACAAGAACCAAATGTAAAAAACCTTCACCCGTTGTCTATGATGCAACAAGAACCAGAGGTATAAAGTTGGTTGACGCCACACCCTCGAACGATTAAGAATGAGAATGATAAGTCAAGTAAGAATGCCACAAGAATATTCTTGATAAGTTCTATAAAGTTCTGAAACAAATCAAAGAGAAAAATCTCTCAAAAACTCAGAATTCAATAGCTCCCCCAATTAGGGTTACAAGTCTTTTAAATAGGAAAAAGTAATTCTAATAAAAATAGGGAACTAACACCCTAAGTTCTAATTCTAATAACCACGAATTGGGTCTCAAATAAATAAATGTTCAGCCCAAAATAATACAAAAAACGTGAAAATCACTTAAAGTAATATAAAGTAACATGAAATATCAATTTGTTACAAATTGCAACAAAATTGCGGGATTTTGACGCAAGCTGTGTAATTTAGCATAAATGACCTCAATTAAGCTTCTCTTGAACCTGAATGATATTTACCATGCCTTGATAATCATCCAAGCTTTGATTGACTTGTTGCACGTTGTTATCAACCCAAATCTGCTCCATAAGACCATTTAAAACTTTTCGCATCTTCCTAACTCTAGCTCTCGTGACTGGACCTCTTGGAATGTGTAATGGATCTCTTGACATGGTACATGTAAGGTCATTTTGATTCCCATCATTCCCTCTTTCCTCAAAAGGATTTGTCCTCAAAAGGATTTGTCCTCAAATCGTCACCTTGTTCTTTCAGGTGCTTCAACTACTCATGATCAGTATGTATCACGAACTCTTTAGGCCAAAGATAATGCTACCACGTTTTTAAGGCCCTTACTAACGTAAACATCTCTTTGTCATATGTAGGATAGTTAAGTGCTACACCAGTCAATTTTTCACTGAAAAACGCAATAGACCGCCATTCTTGCATCAAAACAATGCCAATGCTAATAGCTAACGCATCACATTCAATTTCAAAAGTTTTAGTAAAATCAGGTAAAGCAAGTAATGGTGCAAAAATTAAATTCTCCTTAATCAAATTGAAAGCATTCTCATGTTCACTTTCCCACTTAAATTCAACACTGTTTTTCACAATTTTAGTCAACGGCTGCAATTGTGCTGAAGTTCTTCATGAATCTCCGATAGAAACTTACCAAACCATAAAAACTCTGCACCTCATAAATATTCTTAGGTGTTGGTCATTCTTTAATAGCCTTAATCTTTTCTTTGTCTATTGCAATTCCATCAGCTGAAACAACATACCCTAAAAAGATAATCTAATTTGTGCAAAAGGAACACTTTTTAAGGTTAGCAAACAACTTTTCTTTTCTCAAAACCTCTAATACCATTCGCAGATGCTCAATATGCTCAATTAAACTCTTACCATATATCAGAATATCATCAAAATAAATAACCACAAATTTGCCAATGAAAGCACACAAAATATGATTCATTAATCGCATGAATGTACTAGGCGCAAGTTAATCCAAATGCCATAACTAACCACTCATATAAACCATGTTTCATTTTAAAAGTTGTTTTCCATTCATCACCTTCCTTCATCATAATCTGATGATACCCGCTTTTTAAATCAATTTTAGTAAATATGCAAGAACTATGCAGTTCATCTAACATGTCATCTAATCTAGGAAAAGGGTGACAATACTTTACAGTGATTTTGTTGACAGCGTGACAATTGACGCACATACACCAAGTCCCATCCTTCTTAGGCACAAGTAGCACTGGAGCTGCACATAGACTCATACTTTCTCTCACATGCCCCTTCTTCATGAGTTCTTCAACCTACTTTTGAAGTTCTTTTGTCTCATTGGGGTACTTTGATATATTGGTCGGTTTGGAATTATTGCACCTAGAATGAAGTCAATATGATACTCAATTTCTTTTATTGGTGGTAAACCATTAAGAATGTCCTTTGAAAACACGTCCTTGAAGCCTTGTAAAAGAGATTTAACAACACTAGGTAAAGAATCATTAAGTTCGTTAATGTTGAAATAAGCATCTTTATACAAAAACACAAACATAGACTGCTTTGTAAAGAACGCAGCCTTGACATCACTTTCTTTTGCATAAATACTCATTGATTTTTCTCTCTTTGTTTTCAACACTCTCAATCTTTTCTCTCTTTTTGGACTCATTTTCTATTGTTTTCTCTTTGTTTTTCATCCCTCAAGCTCACTCTCTTTTTTTACTCTTAGTTGATCTTTATAAACCTACCTTGGACTCAATGGTGCAAGAGTAATTGTTTTCCCCTCCATGCCAAATGAATAGTGATTTTTGAAGCCATCATGTGCTGTCCTCTTATCATATAGCCATGGTCTCCCTAAAAGTAAATATCCAGCATGCATAGGAACCACGTCACAAAGTACCTCATTCTTATATCGTCCAATAGAGAATGAAACCAGAACTTGTTTATTTACCTTGATTTCTCTACAATCGTTTAGCTATTGCAGCTTATATGGCCTTGGATGCTTCGTCATAGGTAAATTAAGCTTTTCAACCAAAACAATGTTGGCTACATTAGTAAAACTACCACCATCAATAATCACACTACATACCTTATTTTTGACATGGCACTTCATGTGAAAGATATTGTCACATTGTACTTCATCATCTTCTTTGGCTTGCACATTCAAAGCTTGCTTGGTGACGAGCAGTTCTCCATCAACGGCATATCCCACACTATCATTAGCATCTTCTAATGGTGGCATAGATTCATCATCAGATTCACTCGTGGTTTCAATTTCTCCATCTTCTCTCAAGATCATCATGTGCTTATTAGGACATTACGATGCGACATGCCCCTTTCCCGAGCATCGAAAACACTTGATGTCTCAGTTTCTACCTTGCGTATTATCTGTTTTACTCTTCTCATTGCTATTAACTTCTTTTGACTTAGATGCTGGAGTTTTAGGCTTAAAAGCATAATTTTCTTCCTTTTTGCTCCAATTCAGTTTCCAAGAATAGGAGGAACCTGAATTTTGCCCAGTTCTGGTGGTGGCTTCTTTATGCTTGAGTTGCCGTTCTACTTTCATCGCCATATGCACCATATCTTCTAATTCCACATAATGCTATAGCCCCATCACATTAGCTATATCACGATTTAAGCAATGCAGAAACCATGCCATAGTTGCTTCTTTGTCCTCTTCCACATTCGCTGTAACCATTGCGATTTCCATCTCTTTGTGATAATCCTCAATGCTTTTGGACCCTCTAGTAGGGCCCTGCAATCATTGATAGAGATCATGGTAGTAGTGACTAGGAACAAATCGTTTTCTCATCACAACTTTCATCTCTTCCTAAGTGTCAACAAGACGCTCCCAATTTCTACGTCGACTAAACACAAGCTGATCCCACCACACCATAGCGTAACCAGTAAATTCCACCGCTTCTAGTTTCACTTTTTTCTCCTCAGAATAGTTATGGCCATCAAACACCAATTCCAACTTCTTTTCCCACTCCAAATACACTAAAGACAACAATGAAACCCACAGTACGACAAGGGATTTCTAAACTCCAAGAAAGCCAAATCAAGTTTATAATAGGACCTTGACCCGTTGTTTATGTTACAATTTAGCATAAATGACCTCAATTAAGCATCTCTTGAACTTGAATGATGTTTACCATGCCTTGATAATCATCCAAGCTTCGATTTACTTGTTGCATGTTGTTATCAACCCAAATCTGCTCAATAAGACCATTTAAAGTTTTTCGCATCTTCTTAACTCTAGCTCTCGTGACTGGACCTCTTGGAATGTGTAATGGATCTCTTGACATGGTACATGTGGGGTCATATTGATTCCCATCACTAAGTAATTAATATCAACTGTTTTAAAATCAAGATGAAAATTAATTTACATGATGTACATGAATAGAACTTCAAATCAACAATTAATTTTTGAAAATATTAATTAGAATGTAAAGTTTTAGACAAGATCTTCAAGAAAGAAAAAATTAAAAAAATGATTTACACTATCCTAATCTTATAAAATTATCTGATCAATGTAAAAATCAAAATAAGATAATTACTTTAGGTAATTTTCTAGTGGATACTTACTCTCAACTCAAATCTTCTCTTCAGATTTCTTAGTAGGAGGCATATTCTTACTAATATAGTGGCAGTATTGTCCTTTCACTTTTGTATTGCTTTTGTTTTTTTTTTTTTTTTTTTTTTTTCAGATGGTTAGGCTTTTTTTTTCTTTTTGTTAAATTTTATGTATCTCAAAATTAATTTCTCTCTAAATAATTTTAAAAATGCACCTCTTACATCCACTTAATACATTCAAAAATTCATTTATTTGATGTTGACTCTAAATTTTAAATTATAAATCTGCCCTATAAAAAAACATTTATTTTGTAGATACAACTTTAGGGATGCACAGCTCATATATTTTAACCCACAAAACAAGTCTGGAAGAAGCACTGAGTGTAGCGCTCCTTTTGTCTTATCTAACTACCAACAGATAAATGATTTGTGCATGTGGTTTTTAAATTAGGGGACTGATACTCAAATCTTGCGGTAGCTAAAAAGTGATGAAAATGAGGAAGTTTACCCGTTGTGATACGGCCTATTAAGCCAATAGATAAAAAAAAAAAAAAAAGAAAAAAGGTTAAATTCTAATTTGGTCCCTCAGTTGTAGAGTTTTGTACAATTTTTATTTTTTATTCTTTTTGTACCCTTTTGATTCATAACTATAAAAAAATATACTTTTTTTAGTTCTATCAGCTAATCCTTTAAATTTGTTCAAATCAAGGTTGCAAAAGTTAGTGGGCGACTAGCCTTTGATGCACTAAAATCACCCTAATAAGAATACTAGTCGCTCCAAGTAATATAATGATAAGAAGAGTGTGAAACCTACAAGAATTGTGTCTAATTAAGTACCAAAATAATTAATCTAAATTTATTTGAACAATCAAAAAGAGAATAAACTTTAATAAAAAATAATTAAAAATAGCAATTAAAATAAAGTTAATCAAGATATAAGATACTAAAGTATCGATTTCACCATAATCAATCAATATAAATTTTGGATTAATATATTTTCAAAACCAATTTATTGAGTATTATTGCATATGATGGCGGATTTTCCTAAATTAACTAACTAGCGTTTTAAAGTCAAGTTAATACTTCACTTTTTTGTTAAATTAGTCATATTTATATGTAATTTTAAACAAACTAATGAACATTAAATTCTATGAAAACCTCTAACTTAAGAAGGGGAAGCTACTAACTCTATTCTCTTCCTCCACTACCACATATGAGTTAATTACCTCTTGATCTTATAGTCTAACACATGGTTTATATTATTATTGGTCTAATTTATGCAATTCTTTTTCAAGTTCATGCATAAATTACTAAATCAATCAAAAGGTGATTAGGCTTTCAATGCATTAAGTTCAATAATATAAACTCATAATGCAAATAACTTTAATTGAAAGTATAAAAATCACAAAATCATATATATAGATAAATAGAGATAGATAAATAAATAGATTTATAACTACCATATTATTAATTTTTTATTGCATTCTTTACACTAAGTTTTAAAACAATTACACAAATGGTTATAACTCATAACTTTATTATTGAGGATAAATATTGTAATACCCCAAAATTTTCTAGAACATTAAAGTGTGAGTTAGGGACCTAATTGTGAAGAAATATTATTAATGAACTTAATAGAAAATTTTTCAAAAGTTGAGGGACTAAAAGGAAAGGAAATTAGGATAAGGATCAATTGCTTTTTTTTTTTTTTTCTTTCTTTCTTTCCTTCCTCATCAGACCCGCATGCCCTGCTCTTCCTCTCCCCCGACCCTCTGCAACCCGACGAGCCCCCCTGTTACCGCCACCCATTTCCGGCCGGGAACATCGGCAAAGCTGGGGGATTTCTCCCTAATTTCTTGTTCTAGAACACCTATTAAACCCAGAATTTTCCAGATCTGGTCTGCTCTTCTTCCCCTGTCCGTGAGCTGCTCTTACCGGTGGAGAGCTTCTCGATTTTTCTGGTAAGATCTAGCCATGAATCCCTCTCTTTAACCTTGATTTAGGTTGGGTTTACTTTAATTGCTTTATTCCTGTAATTGCACCAAACCAGAAGTCCTTCCTCAGTCCGCGCTTGCACTCCGGGATGACCTGCAAAGCCCCGAGGTGGAACTCGGGGTAGACACTCCGATACTTAAGTCAACAATAATCGGGGCTACCTTTAGGGCGGAGATAAAAAGAGCTTAGGATTGGTTTCAATTACCTTTTGACATGGCCCGGTGGGGGTATTTATAGGATCCAATGGGGAATCCACGTGGCATGCCAAGCAAGATAATCGGAGCTTGACGTGTCCATCCAGACGATTATTCCGGGACCGGGAATTTGAGAGGTATTCAGATGCACAGGTGTCCACCATACCTGTTGTGCCACTCATCATAAGGAATCAGGTGCGAGCATGCTTATCGTCATTATCATGCAGCTATTTGAGTGGGAAGCTTAGGATTCATTCCTCACTTCGGTCATAAAGGGATTACTGTAGCAGTCCGAGTCTTGGCACCTCGGACCTGTCCTTACACTATTCCCCCCCGAAGTCATTCACTTGTGAATGATGTTTCTGGGGATAATGAGGGGAGTGTATGAACAAAGAGGATGCGGATAAATCATAGAAGTAAAAGGAAGAAATAAAATTTGTAATTCGAATGCATACATAGCCGTATGCGATAAGAAGATAGTGTGACCAGAGCGATCGTGGCCGTAGCTATGGTAAAAATAATGACTGGAGGCAATGTGGCTGAAGCCATAGTAAGAAATGATGACCGAAGTCATGGTGGCCGGAACCATGATAAAAAATGATGATTGGAGTCATAATGTAACCAGAGCCGTGATAAAAAATGATGACCAGAGTCATAGAGGCCGGAGCCGTGATGGAAAATGATGACCGGAGTCATAATGGCCGGAGCCGTAATAAAATATGATGGCCGGAGTCATAATGACCGGAGCCGAGGTAAAGTATGTGACATGTAGTCACAGTAACTAGTACCGAAGTAAAACATGTATCTCTGTTGTCAGAGCCGAAGTAAAACACTGCTAGTTAAAAAGTGTAATTGTAAAAGTAAACAGGAGTACTGAGCTAGGCTTAAGTATAAAGATGGAAGTGAAAATGCCCAGAGCCATAATAAAACATAATGACCTGAGTCATAATGGCCAGAGCCATAGCGAAACGTATGATACTGGGTCACTATAACCGAAGTCGATGTGAAACATGTAATGCAGGATCGCTGTGGCCGAAGCCGAAGTGAAACACTTGCAAAAAACTGAGAAAGCGTATAAGTAAGCGAGAGTGTTGAAATGGGTTTAAGTGGGCCTGACTGAGAAGTCTGACAAAGGGGTAATGCGTGGTGTGATAGTTGTCCTTGGAATGATGTGCGCAATAAATGCAGCCGTAAAAAGATAACTGTTACAGTTAAATGGGCAAGTTTTAAAAAACGAACTGTCGAATTCAAAACGTTACCGTTTGGGGTTGGCCGTCGAATTCCAAATAGTGCGAATAGGAACCGTAAGATTAAATGAATCTCAGCCGTTGAGATCTAATTTTGCCCAGAAGTATAAATAAACATTTTTTCTGCAGAGAGAGGTTTACTTGCATTTCTTTTTCTGCAAAACTTCTGCGAAAAGCTTTACTGTGCGTTTTTTGCGCGTGAACTGCAATATCAACTAGGGATCTCTACATCAAGTCTTTTGAAGCCGAAACCAAAATCAGGTAATGTATACGAACCTCTGATTTTGAGTTAATCGAAGTGTCTCTTTCCTTTCTCCCTTTCTGTGATTGATTTAAGATCCTTTGAAGGAAGTTAGGGTTAGAGGTGAGGAGGATTTTGAATGTGCAACAAAAGAGGTTTTTTTTTTTTTTTTTTTTTTTTTTTTTTTGGGATCCTGACTTATTCCTCCCCCCTA